TATGTCTTTGGAGTGTTGGAGGAAAAACGGAGGAAACCCAGGCAGGCACAGGGAGAACATGCAAACTCCAGGCAAGTGGTGCCATGGTTGGGATTCGAACCAACGACCCTAGTACTGCCAGGCGGAAAGTGCTAACCATTTAGGCACTGTGCTGCCCATTCATTGACAGTACTCTGTGAATGAGAACCTAAAAGTCCTGACAGCCTTCAGCTGTGGAGCGCCGTGGTAAGTCATTGATTCTTGCTGTCAGTGTATCTGCTTATCCATACATCCCATTCGGGCAAGCAGATATACTGACAGGTTTGCAGGAGACCTGCATGGCACCAGTGATCTTCTGAGAGCTGGTGCAATGGCTGCAACAAATAATAAATGCACATTTTATTACCTGCAAAAATGTGCATTTATTATTTTTTTTAGCAGAAGATGAACTTATCCTTTAATACATTTTATAATTTTATTTAAATTTTTTTATTTTATTTAACTGCATTGCTATCACAATGGGTTAACAAACTTCCATGTGATAGAATTAGGTAGCTGGCAGGTACTCTTTATTAGACCCTCCCCTGCCCTTCCAAATGTCTCCCCTGCCCTTCCAAAGCAGCTAACCAAACATCGAGTGTGCTTGGATAGCGGCTTCCTTGGCTGTAACAGCCAGGGAATGAAACCCGAACTAAATCATTGTTGCCTCCAACTGCATTTCCTGCAGAAGAGATCAAAAAATGGATGTTCCTCAGTCCCCTCCCGCTTGCCATCCTGAAGCCTTCCAATGGGATCCTGGGCTCCTGGGAAGGGTGGAAGAGCTTGATAACCACTAAAGGAAAGGGGGGGGGGGGGAGAGATTGGGGCAGAGATACCGGTGCAGAAATGGAGGGACTGGACCCCACACTCTAAAAGGGATCAGCCGCATAGCCGCCTGGTTCACTTTTGCTTTATAGCTTTATAGCAGGGAGCCAGCTGAAGAAATGGCGCACAAGCATACGGCTGTCACTGCAGCTGGGAACTTGTGCGTAACACTCCACTCTCTGGGACGTACTACATACATGCAAAGAAGTAGTTAAAGAAAAATTAAAAGTTACTCCAAATATCCTGGCCACCCCTCTGGACCCCGCTGCACATAGCAGCCATGATACCCCATGCTGCTAGTGTCGCAGTCCGTTCACATTACACACCCCAAGACTGAGTATCCTTCATAATACCCACAATGGCGAGCACTTGTTGGTCTACACAATTATCTGACTGGACTGACCAATGAGAAGCGCTTCTTTCTTCTGGGATACCTTGCCAAAAGAAGCAGCCTCAGATGAGCTTCCCGTAGGTCAGCATGATCAAAAAGGTCAGCTGATCAATGAGCCACTGCAAACATTCTCCCTCCTAGATTGTAAGCTCCCATGATCAGGGCCCTCCTATCCCTCTTGTATTGAACTGTATTGTTGCTGTATTGTCTCCCGTTATATTGTAAAGCGCTGAGCAAACTGTTGGCGCTATATAAATCCTGTATAATAATAATAATATAAATCCTTTATAATAATATATAAATCCTGTATAATAATAATAATAATATAAATCCTGTATAACAATAATATATAAATCCTGTATAATAATAATATATAAATCCTGTATAATAATAATATATAAATCCTGTATAATAATAATATATAAATCCTGTATATAATTAATAATAATAATATAAATCCTGTATAATAATAATATATAAATCCTGTATAATAATAATATATAAATCCTGTATAATAATAATATATAAATCCTGTATAATAATAATAATATATATAAATCCTGTATATAACAATAATATATAAATCCTGTATAACAATAATATATAAATCCTGTATAATAATAATAATAATATATAAATCCTGTATAATAATAATAATAATAATATATAAATCCTGTATAATAATAATGGATACGCACTCTGGGGCAATGGTATGGACTGCTACAATGGAAACACAGGGGATCACGGCTGCTATACGACTTTCAAATACCCTGAACTCTTTCATGGCTCATAATATGCAAATGTAGTCGGACAGTGACAACCCCCTTCACCTACAGTCCAAATGGTCTCAAAAAGAAATGGAAGAAGCATTGAAACATGTCTCACAGCTGGCCAAACAAGAGTGAAGAAGATGCTTGTTGCCCAAATATTACAAAGCATGATTAAAGAATGCTTAAACTGTGCCTAAACCCAAAACAGGCAATTCAATATATGCAGATTAGCAGTCTTTAGATGTGCTGGCTGCATTAGTTTTCTTAATTTAAGCAGTTTTCCCTTTATTGACACCTGGTGATGCTGCTAATAACACACTTCCTGTCCCTTCGTGTCTACACATCTTGAAGGGAGCCAAGGTTGTCACACAGACTTCAAATATTTCTGCCTTTGTTCATCTATTCCAGGGGCCTCCAACTGTTCTAAATGAAGGGCCAGTTACTGTTTGGTATCAGTGGGAGGAATAGTGCCCCATTACTGGTGTCAGTGATAGCAATAGTACACCCATTGTTGATGTCACTGGGAGGAATACTGCACCATTGTTGGTGTCAGTGGTAGAAATAGTAACCCATCAACGCTATCAGTGGCAGGAATAGTGCTAACAGTGGGAGAAATAGAGCACCTTTGTTGGTGTCAGTGGGAGGAATAGTTTTCACCATTGTTGTTGTCAGTGGGAGGAATAGTTTACCATTGTTGAGGTCAGTGGGAGGAACAGTTTACCATTGTTGTCAGTGGGAGGAATAGTTTACCATTGATGATGTCAGTGGGAGGAATAGTTCACCATTGTTGATGTCAGTGGGAGGAATAGTTTACCATTGTTGTTGTCAGTGGGAGGAATAGTTCACCATTGTTGAGGTCAGTGGGAGGAATAGTTCACCATTGTTGGTGTCAATGGCTGAAATCGTGCCCCATCAACCGTGTCAGTGGTAGGAATAGTGCCCCATTGTTGCTAACCATCAGTAGAATAGTGCACCATTGCTGGTGTTGGTGGGTGGTATAGTGCTCTATTGTTGGTGTCAGTAGGAGAAATAGTGCTCCACTGTTGGTGTCAGTGGCAGAAAGAGTGCCTCATAACTGGTATTAGTGGCAGGAATAGTGCCTTATCATTGCTATCAGTGGGAGGAATAGTGTCCCATTGTTGCTAATCAGTAGGAGGAATAATGCCCAATTGTTGGTGTCAGTGGAATAGTGCACCATTGTTGGTATCTGGGAGGAATAGTGCCCAATTGTTTTTTGTCAGTGGGAGGAATAGTGCCCCATTGTTGATGTCAGGGCCGGATACAGGCAGGCAAAGGACTGCAGTTTGCAGACCAGCGATTTATTCTATATGATATGCTGGATTGATGAGACTAGTAGTTTGCACAATAAAGGTAAGGTTCTTTGTGCTTTTTTTAAACTCACAGCAAGTGACAAGGACACGGCACTTCTATCACAATCAACAAGTAATTTCTGTACATGCTGAAAATGTCCTTAGCCTAAAAAACGCTAACTAATGTAGCCACCACATCTAAAAAAGATGCAATATATTACATTTTTATTTTTTTGTACACTTGAATGCTTCTCACCAGCTGTAGAAAATGTGCAATGTTCAGGTCTATGTGACAGAAGGTGGTAGTCCCCATACATTTCTAACCCATGAAAGTATAAAAGGGCCTTGAAACCCTGCACCCTGCACCATAGGTATGTCCACTCTTGCTTGCTGATGAGAAATCAGAAAAGAGTTATGAGAAATGTTCTGTTTACAAGAGAAGCAGGTCATCCTGAAACCTGGATTTTCTAAAAACCTGAACTAAAGAGGAAAGCTTTTTCAACAAAAGTGGAAATCTTACCACAGTATTCACACTCCAGTTCCCCATAAACCTTCCTGATTTTCTGAAGTAAATCCATATTCAGCTGCCTCTTGTGTAGTCCATTCAAGATGGCCATAAAAGCTCCAGCTCCTCCTGAAATAACACAGCCCAGGTTCTGACCAGGAATCTGTTGGTGGGTCTCATTACTAACGTTCTCACCCATGCTTTCCGAGATGCCACTTTGATTAAACTGAACATCTTTCACCAAACTATCCAACTCTCCATCTCTCAAATGAGAGCTTTCAGCTGTGACATGACTGACTGCTCCCGAAACATTATCTCCTCTCTGTACATCTCCGAGATTAGCATAAAGATGATGATTCTCTTTTTCTGTCAAACAGTGTAAAAGTTCATCGCTTGACACTCCCTTAGAGACACTGGAAGAGTCTGCAAGCTTTTCTGGAGTGCAATCTGTTATATGATTTACTTGCTCGCTTCCAGCAAAATGCAGTTCCATTGTTTTTTCTGAAGGCAAACCATCATTGTGAGATTTCAAGTTCTCAGGCTGATCTAAAAGAGCTTCCTGCACAGGCATCTGTGGATCTAAAGTGGAAGGTGCGTTGTGGTCCTCCTGGGAGTTAGTCTCCATGTCCCCCAAGGCCTCCTGCTGGATGTCACTTCCAGGTTCTAGAAGACAAAAACTCTGAGAAATGGAATCATGAAGCAAACTTTCTTCAGCTACCTCAGGGTGGAAGTCTTTGATGTGAGCTTTTAGCCTGACGGTGCTCACAAATTTTTTAAAACAGTTCGAGCAGACATAGACGAAGGGGTGTCTGCGGATGTGCAGCTCAAGGGATTGGTACTTGGTGGCGCCATGGTTGCAGAGTTCACAAGCGAAGGGTCTCTCATCGCCGTGGACCAACATGTGGCGGTCACGTTCCAGTTCATTTTTGAATTTACGTTCACAAATGTGGCAGTCATAGAGGAGCTGCCGTTTCCCTTCCCTGGTGAGCAACCTCAGCTCATCGAAAGTCTCCTTTACCTTTTTGTCCAGCAGATTGTGCGTCTCTTTGACATGCTTGATCAGATTCTTAACGTCGGAATACTTCTTCTTGCAGAAGCGGCAGTGCTGTTTGATCTTCTTGTGAACTCGCTCAACGTGGACCTTCAGGTGACCTTTGCTAAGGCAGCTGAATGAACAGTGGTCACAACTGAACTTTTCCCCCCGTGTGCTTCCTCATGTGGACACTGAGGTTGGCCTTGATGGCACTGGCATAGTTGCAGAGCGGGCACTTATAAGGCTTTTCGTTGGTGTGGATTCGCAGGTGGGCTTGCAGCGAGTGCTTGAACTTAAAGACTTTATTGCAGTATTCACAGGTGAAAATTTTAAGTTGGGTTGAGGCCAATCTGAAAAATGAGAAAAATTGGGTTGTTAAAATGTAAACTTTACCTTTGAACCCAAGACCCTACTTTAAAAATGTTTCATAACCAGCTTTGTCTATAAAACTTTTAAGAGTCTGGCTACTTGGAGAATAAGGCAAGGGTCAAGGAGGATAAGCAGGGTGAGAAGATACCAATTCTAAAATGCTTTCTGATTTGATGATGTGTGTTAGGCAACATTATATATCCTATTGTCAGAAACCTCCAAATCTGCAATAAATCCCCCACAATGCACAGCTTCAGCATGTTTAAAAAGACCCTGTCACCAGACCAGTCATTCTCACAACAGCATTCTCAATGGATTATAGTGCATTTAATGTATTTATATGTTATTTACCTCCTTTGTGTAAAGAACCAATAGCCCTGATACTCCATCTGGGTCCCGCCATCTTGAATATGTCAGGAGCCCCAGGAGACAAACAACCACTTCAAGTCTGGCATTTGCTTAACACTTATGCCATGCTATGTTACAGAGTATTCATTAATACAAAATTAGAGGAGTATTTTTTTAAATGCAAGCAGCAATTCCCATTTGTGCAAACAAGGAACATGTTGATAAGGGAAGAGAGCAGAGTGACAGAGGGGTGAGCTCATCAGACTCCAACTTCTCCTTACAGCATCCAGTCATGGGCTAAGGAAGATACAAGATCTAGAATGGCCAAAACACACTTTTCCACTGGAAAGCGCTGCACAAACTGTTGGCGCTATATAAATCTTGTATAATAATTAGGTTAACACATACATCAGTTAGTAAAAGAAAGATTTAGAGGTTCAAATAAAAATTACTGTATCACCCAATATATGGCTTCCATCCAGTAGCCAAAAAATATGCAGACCAAAGAAGAGATTTGTGAAAAGAGATTCACAAGAAAGCAGCTACATTATGGACAGAATGCGATACTCAGAAAAATTTCCAAAAATTATGCTTTATTACACATTAATGATTGACACTCAGGCAGTCGCCCTGGTTCACCATCACCTCAGTATGAGAAAATACACACAGACCTAAAACCATTAAAATCACACCAAGACTGGTCTGGGCATTGGTCTTGACGAAGCTGAGTGACATACGCCCATCGGCGAAACGCGTTGACGTCATACACGTCACTTCCGGTCATGCGCATTGGCGATATGCACGCTGACCTACAAGGAGGCAGCCATTTTCACATGCCATGAGTCATGCAAAAGCTGTCCATAATGTAGCCGCTTTCTTGGGTAACACATACATCAGCCTCCTCTCCCCTGAAGATGTTCCCTGGCACCTAAATGCAGTTGATTGCTGCTGATCCCCATGCAGCAATACCAATGTTGTCCCTGTCTCTTCTGTTGATATTGTGAGTACCTCAATTTGCACAAATAAATAGCTTTACTTGAAGGTACTACACAACATGGCTTGCCTTGCTTCTTTCTTTCTTTTGGCAATATTAACTGGCTGAACTGAGGAGAGATTGAGAGCCCTGCCCATGGTTACTGGAGCCATGTAGTGGTGGAAGGTGTGCTTTGTGCACCTCAAGCTGCTGGTGTTGAGATTATTGGATTATTCAATACATACTGCACTGACCTCCTTTAGATTTAGAGGTCCACCTTCTTTGGTGGAAAGTTTGCACACCTGGAGGTGGTGGAGCACGTTGAGTATCTTATGTCTTGCAGAATCATTCACAGCACCATTTTTGCAATATTCTGAGGAGTTGGCACAGGGGTGGGCAAACTTTTTGACTTGAGGGCCGCAATGGGTTCATATATTGGACCCAGGGGCCGGACTAGCTGCTGGCCAGCCCAGCCACTACCATGCCATCCATAGTAAGTATAGTAATATTCCCCCATAGTAAGCATAGTAATTAATCCCCCATATAGTAATTCATCCCCCATATAGTAATTCATCCCCCCTATAGTAATTCATCCCCCTTATAGTAATTCATTCCCCATATTGTGTCAATTCACTTACCTTTGCTCCGCGCGTTCCTCTCGCCGTGTTCCCGCGCCGTTCCGGTCTTCAGGGCGGACTGTGAGAGGAGAGGAGTTTGTCACGCTGCCCCGCCTACATCCTGACAGCCAATGTTTGCCACGCTCCGCGGGCCGGATTAAAGAGGTCCGCCGGGCCGTAGTTTGCCCATTGCCGAGTTGGCATATCAATTTTATTTATTCATTGCACTAGAACACTTTATCCACATTATATTTTTGAGCACCAAGTTTCATATACAGTGGGTACAGAAAAGAATCACCCCCTTCCCCTTTAGAATAATCACATTTTGTTGCTTTGCAGACTGAAATGAAGACAGACACTGTTTTTGTTTAATCCAGTTGTATTTACTCAGTGCAACTTATAACATCCAAGGCAAAGATATAACACCAACATGTCAGAAAAAAACAAAAAAAAACAAAAACAGAATCACCGAGTTGTGATTACTTTAAAGTAGAGGATTCTTTTCTATACCCACTGTATGAATTTAGATTTTTTTTATATTAATGTATTCATATATTAATTATTTCAATGCTCTTTATGTCTGGATAAATCCGAAAGCACTTAAAGAAGTGTAGTTACTTTTTGAATTTATTCTTATGTAATCTGTTTTTGCATATTAGAGTGCTGCAGTTCCTAGGATACAGAAAGAACTGTTCAAACATTATAGGCAAAGAATGCTTTCAGAAATATAAGTGATAGTTTATTTTTTATCAATTAACAAAATGGAAAGTAAATGAACGAAAGAGAAATCCAAATCAAATCAATATTTGGCGTGACCACTTTTTACCTTCACAACAGCATCAATTTTTCAATTCCTCTAGGTACACTTACACAGTTTATAAAGGAACTCCGTAGGTAGGTTGTTCTAAACATCTTGGAGAAGTAACCACAGATCTTCTGTGAATGTAGGCTGCCTCAAATCCTTCTGTCTCTTCATGTAATCCTAGACAGACTTCATGGTGTTGAAATCAGGTCTCGGGGGGTGGAACCATTACTTCCAGGACCCCCTTGCTCTTCTTTATACTGAAGATAGTTCTTAATGACATTGGCCCCAAATGTATTCTGAAGCGGGACAATAACCCCAAACATACAGCCAAAAAAGTCTCCCTGTTGGTATGACATGACGGATAAGTATCTGCATGTATTTCTCAGCATTGAGGACACCACTGATCATGGCCAAATCTCCAACTCCACTTGCAAAAATGCAGCCTCAAACTTGGAAGGAACCTCTACCATGCTTCGCTGTACCGCTCTCCAGCCCTTCGCCAGCAAACTGCCTCCTACTACAGCCAATTATTTCACATTTTGACTCATCAGTCCAGAGCTTCTGCTGCAATTTTTCTGCACCCAGTTCCTATGTTTTCCTGCATAGTTGAGTCACTTAGTCTTGTTTCCACGTCAGAGATATGGCTTTTTGGCCACAATTCTTCCATGAAGACCACTTCTGGCCAGGCGTCTCCGGACAGTAGATGGGTGTACCTGGGTCCCATTGGTTTCTGCGAGTTCTGTGCTGATGGCACTGCCAGACATCTCTTAATGGCAAAGGGAAGTAAGCATGATGTGTCTTCATCTGCTGCATTATCACTGCATCAATGGTCCACAGCATTGCCCATTTATTTGTGCTTCTTCAAATCATCTTGAACAGCACCATCTTGAAATCCCAGTCTGCTTTGATATCTTCCACTGGGAAAGACCTTGCTGATGCATAACTACCTTGTGCCTTGTTGCTGTGCTCAGTCTTGCCATGGTGTATGACCTTTGACATTAAACTGTCTTGACAACCTTCCCTTAGTAGCAGAGTTTGGTTGTTCCTCACCCAGTTTTAAGCCTCCTACACAGCGGTTTCTGTTTCAGTTAATGATTGTGTTTCAACCTACATATGAAAAGGATGATCATTAACATCTGCTTGGTATAATTGGTTAATCAGACACCTGACTCTAATCCTACAAAATCTTACTTTGTACAAGTGTAAGAACTGATGCTGGTTTGAAGCCAAAGGGTAGTCACCCCAAATATTAATTTGATTTAGAGTTTTCACCTGTTTGCTCGATTTGTAAGTTGAGAAAAACAAGCAATTCAATTATACATTTTTTAAAACATTCTTAATTTTACAGCATTTTTTCACATCTGGCTAAAATGTTTGCACCGTACTGTATATCTTCTAGACATAAAGCGAGGATGTTAGGCTAATATAACACACATTACCTCAACACAGGCCATTCTTTTTGAATGAAACCCCAATGCACTAAGGCAATCCGGTTCCCAAGTAGAGTTACAGCATACCACACACAGCACCGTAAGGCACTTTCATGTATTGTGATGCGCGGCATTGAGAAAAAAAAGGCCCATATTCATTTTCTATTTGGGGGCTACCTTAACGCAATGCATGTTAAACAAAAATGGTGGGTTAACATAACAAACCAAGGTGGCAAAATCTGAATGGGTCATAAGTGTTACTTAACTACTTCCCGTCTGGCCCATGTATATAAAAAGGCCACACAGGACCAGTGCAGGAGCGGGTGGCCGTTTATAACCATCTTCCCACTTCCCTGCCTGTGCGCGCTCCCTGGGAGCGCGCGGCACCGCAATCCGGTGCCCGCTGTGTCCAGATATTCTGTGTGAGGTCCCGATCATGTGATCACTGATTGGCCAATCAGTGATCACATGACTAATAGTAAGCAAGATGTCACTTCTGACATCATTGCTTACTACATGTGAAATCTGTGAATGATCACAGAGGTCACATGGTACAGGCCATTCACAACTTGTACCATGTGACATGCTGTGACCAATCACAGCTCTCACAGTATTTCTCAATGGCTGCAAGAAATCAGCCAGAGAGAAGGAGAAATGATTGCTTTTACACCCATAAAGGCTGTAAAAGCAATCAGTGTAAAAAAAAAAAATCTTCATCACTCCCAAATAGTACAGTAGTACACCTTACTCCTAGGGTGACAGTATGTTAAAAAAACAAAAAACAAAACAAATATAAAA